TCTGGGCAACGTATACTCTTACGGCAAAAAGTCAATAAGTAGGCAGTTGACTTCTGACCATAAAATAACATCATTTCACTGTATGCCATATTAGATTACATCCACAGTACTCACCTCACCTTTTTCTACCTTTGTGTCCCTCTGTCTCTTTTACATTTTTGAAACACTCTTCTGTCCCCAATCCTCTCGACTTTTTTCGTTTTGATGTTCCTCCCCTCTATGAATTCCGAAGTCAAATAAGGCGCTAATGATAACTATCAAAACGCCTGCCATTTGATATAAATAAATCCATACAAATATTCATGGTTGAGGGAATGCGTCGACAGTTCTTGCACTATGGAAGACTTTGACAAGAAATCAGAGTTGTCAGGCTCAAACGCCAATAAAACTTGTAAAATGCAATATTTTAACTTTGTGTATGTATTGCCTGAAACAATGTCAATCGATTAGAACATCTGAAATGGCTCCACTTTCCATGCAGGTGGAATCACATGGTTTATTTTGAAAATTGATCTCATGACGAATCATGGGGTTACCAACTGAAATGGCTACACTTGCCAGTTTTTTGAACTTTTAGCCAGTATTATCGACATTGTTTTTAAAGAATTTGAAAACAGTCACCTGGCGAAATTGACGCCTTATCGGATTGCGACAGTATTTTAGAATTGTTCCATGTGATTTGTGGGTTCTGTCTTTGTACAGAGCGAATGAAATTGTGAAGATAAATAACATTGGAATTAAAAATTTGCCTTGTCAATTTTGCAACTTAAATGAATTCCACTATTGCCTCTTAAGAGGTGCTCAATAAACTTACCTCCACGTGGTGCTCCCTGAACAACGTACACTTAAACGGCAAGTAAAGTCTATTTATCGACAGTTGACTTCTGACTTCTAACTACTGTGACCCGACTGTTTGTCCTATTCGACCCCTTCCTGAGTACTCATCCCACTTTTTCTCTGCCTTTGTGTCTGTCTGTCTGTCTGTCTCTTTTACATTTGTGAATCATTATTCTGTCCCCCTCCCCTCTCCACTTTTTATCCCTTTGATGTTCCTTCTCCTCTCTGTGAGGCCCGAAGTCAACTAAAGGGCTTATGATAATTATCAAAACGCCTGCCAATTGAAATAAATAAATAAATATTGAAATTATTTCAGATAATTTGAGGATTTCTCGGAACCAGTTCAAAAGTAATTAAATAATTAATTACATTCCTGGAAAGTGTCTAAACCATTTTATGGGAGCAAGCTAACTAAACTCAATCGAAGATTTTACTACAATAAAGCTTTTTTTTAAAAATGACTTCAGTTTATATGCCACTGTTAAGAAGACAGTTAATAAAAGCATTCAAGGATTACATTCAGTTACCACTTCTAATCCACTTTTAGGCAATTTAATAATTTTATTGGTAATTGTATTAAATGGTTTCTTCATTTTTAAAACAGGCAATATTAGATAATGCCTTACCCCGTAGGATGTGATGATGTATCGCAAAAAACCTTTTTTTCAAATGAAGGAGCATTTTAAATTGAAACTCGAATCGATCTTGAAGTTGGATAGATTTTCAACCAGTTTTGATAACGTAGGCGTCGTTAAACTTAAAAAATTTTTTCAATAACTTTTAAAAAATTATGAAACATGTGTTTTTTGGAAAAAAATATGTCATACAGTTATTGAAAGTTGTCAATAAATTAATTTTTTGTGCCACTGAGCAGTTTAAAAACACCACACCCATTGGAAATGAAATAAACTTTTGCAAGTTGAATAAAATTCAATAATATTTTATAGCAGCCAACCTTTTAATTATTTTGGTTCCTGATTCAAACCTGTGCAATTCCTTCATTTAAATTGCATTTGTCAATTTCACTTATAACTGGGAATGAGAATCTTCAAAATGTGAAAAAATGGCATATGCTACTTCCTGATTTTAAGACTCGAACAGTTAATTGCCAATCCTTTTATGAAGACTATTATTTTCACTTGTAACTTATCAAAATGACAAAAAGTCGAGATGGGGATGTAAAAGAGACAGACAGACTGACATAAAGGCAGAGAAAGAGTTAAATGAGTACTGTGGAAGTGGTGAAACATGGCATACAGTGGGGTGATGGGAGTTTGAAGTCAGAAGTCAGCTGCCAATTAATTGACTTATTTGGCGTATGAGTATAAGTTGCCCAGGGGGTACCACGTAGAGGTAAGTCCATTTGACACCACAACACAATGAATATTAATTTGGAGAAATTCACTAACCTTGAGAAAATGATGTCGATCAGGTTGGATTTAAAAAAATGGGAATGTTTTACATTTTTAAAATAGTAAAAAAATAAATTAATTTTGACAATACTTTGGAAAGTTCGACAAAAAATTCTACTTTAGGATTGGCACATTTTATTGCCAAATGCTATTCGCGTCGGTCCTTAAATTTAACCTAAAATTCAGTTACCTTATTATGTCAGTGGAATAGATCTGCAAAACCAGTTAATTAAAAGATTATTAGCCTCTACACAAATATATTACCGATTTGAACTATTGGCATAGGCATACCTGAGAATTCAGGAGCATATCTTTGTCATTTCTTACCCAGAACAAAGTTAGCCATCATGAAACAAATTGTCGTCTTGAATATTGACTAATTTTAATTTAATGCACACTGAATTAAGTACGCTCACTTGATATCGCAGTCACTTTTAGAGACTCCAAAAAGAAAATCTTACTTAAAAAGCAAGCGTTAAATCTGGAAGACATGTGAAGGAAGAAAAGCACAATTTTTGTTGAGGAAGAGCAAGCGAAATTGACCAACAACATAACATGAACATTTAAATTGAGAGATTTAAAACCATTTCTGAACAGTTAGATTTCACTCATTTTATGTAAACCATACTCTTAAGATTGAGTAGGTATTCATAAGTGTTATGATTTAATATCGATTTACTTATTCATCAGGATAATCTCGTATTCAAGAATGTTCTAACGCGCATGAGATTGTTTGTCGAAACGTCTTGTGGTTGTGGGCTCCACTAATTTATGGTATAGTGTCAGATGGAAGTGTCTGTATTCACAGAAAATATGACAATAATCGCATTAAATTATCAATAAGTTTAATCAGCATCAAGTGGCAGTTATCATTAACGCCATTTCAGGACGTCTAGACGTCTTGCAAATCATATTAGACAAATAAAATGGACATTCATAAGTTCTATGTCCAAGTATTGATTTACAAATAGGATGGAAATGGTATTTTGCCATGGCTGCAGTGTTTTCCAGTCAAAATTTATATCTCTATTTAAAATTCCTTTAATAAAACGATATACAACCAATTTCCATATTTCCGGATATTTGTGGCTTCACTTTTATTTTGTATAAAAGCGATTAAACAAAGTTTTTAGGTAACAAGACGATTGCTCCAAGTACATTTATTTTTTGTAATGATGATTCTCGATAAGTTCATAAACATTTTATTAATAGTCTATTCATTTGTCAGAAAGTTATATGGTGGGATTAATTTAGCACACGGATCCCCTTTCATTTTATGAAAATACAATTCTTTTAGAACGTCAAGTTCGTTTATGTATAATAATAATAACAATAATAATAATGATAAAAATGGAGCAATGAAGACGCTCAGAAAGCGCCAAATCGTTTGACTAAACAACAATCGTTCTCGTATCTCGAGTAAATAGGCATTTGGCCAATTAATGTCTTCCCCTAAATGCACACGGCACAATTTAACGCATACTGAAGGTACCAAAGTGTTTCACTTAAAAATATTATTAAGAAAACAATAATTTAAAAATAACTATTTTATTCAAATAGACAATTACTCAATAAGTTTGGGGAACAAAAGAAAATATCATTTCAATTCATTAAAGTTGGAATAGTCCGGCGAAGTAAGTTGCCACAGTGAGAACAAAGAACTCAGGCTGGAGAAGAGATGACTTTGAGGTCGTCGTCTTGACTCCAGCAGATCCATCGTCCGAAGCATCTGGTTGATCCGAAGGTGCATCTGAAGTATCTTGAGCTAACACAAATGTGGCGAAGAAAAGAAGGAAATAGAAAAGGTTCATTGTGTATTTTTTCTGGTGATACAGCAGTAGGAGCCTTTGGTGGTATAAATAGTTCAGTTGAGTGCATGTGTGAATGTCTGACATCCAATAATCAAACTGCCATTGAAACAGTGCTGAACATACTTGTGAAAATGCGTTACTTGGAAGTGCTTTAGCTATGGTAATGGTTTTAAAATTTGCTTTCATTATTGTTCCCTACTCTCATATATGTGAAAGCAATTTTTCATTAATTAATTAATTATTTGGCTCTAAGATTTGAGCATTATGATTTCTTGACTACACTCTAAACAATTTTCGATTTTGTTCTAGTAGTGTAAATTTGAATTAATTTGAATTACTTACCGGGTATCAAGTATATTTAAAGCACAAAAAACTTAAATATGAATTTGAATTATTTAATGCAATAATAAAAGGTAAAGTTAATCTTTTGCAGAAAAATAATCATTAATTCATAACCCTGCGAAGATATATTTATTGGCCATCGATAAATCATCACTTTAAATTTTGAGAAAATCATTTTAAACCAACCCATCGTTGGTTTTTTTTAAATTTTCATATTTTCGTTTTGTGGAATCGTGGATTATACCTTTGTAGCGGACTGCTACCTTAGCAAAGCCTGACCGACTCAGAAATCTCCATGGCAGTATAGTCTCTATGGCAGATTCTCCAACATCTAGCTAGACTCCCGAGAAATCTCTGGCAGATTCTCCTACATCTAGCTAGACTCCCGAACTAGCTAAGCTATAGCCCAGCTATAAAGAAAACAGACGTATAATTCAGCTAAGCTATAGCCCAGCTATAAAGGAAACAGACGTGTTGCTATAGCCCAGCTATGAAAGGAAACAGACGTGTAGCACGGACCACGTTTATTCAGTACGGGTATTGCGGATTAAGTGTGTTCACGCAGGGAGCTACTCATGATCAGGATGGGGTATTAGGTTAAACAGAGGTTGATGATTGGTCACTGTTTGTACGGTCGCACCTCCCAATCCTGGCGAGCAGACATGCAGGCATACGATGACGCACAGAGCGATAACGTGTCCCACACCTTAGTAAAAGGATTAAATCACACTTTTGCCTGGGTAAAGAGATTTTTGATGAAAATAATGCGAAAATGTAAATATAAAGCGGGAATCATTTGTCAGGCAATGTTTCTAGCACCAATGGACAGACATTAAGACAATTTGTTTACTTTTTAAGATATACTTATCGATCGGTATCACTGCACCTAACCCCTTGGTCGGAATCAAATCACATTTTATTAATTTCCCAAAAAACGAAAGATTGGCATAATAATTACTGTGAATAGTTTGTTCTGGTTTCCCTAGTCTCGTCAATCGAATTTTTGACATTTATGCTGAAGAAAATATGGCTTATTGTTTTATTTCTAAGCGCAAATAATAATTTATTTGAAAAATAGAAAGCTTACAAAAGTTCTTATTTTGATTTTAAGCAACTTGTTTAATAATATTGCCACCTTTTGAAAGTTTGAATTTATTATAGGAAGTTGAAATACACTGCTTCATTAAATGCAATAACCTTGAGACATTAAAATTAAAAGATATTGGAGTTTAATTATTTATATCAAATGGCAGGCTAAAAGAGTGATTCATAAATGTAAAAGAGACAGACAGACACCAAGTTAGAGCAAAATGTAAGGTGAGTAGTGTGGAAGTGGTTGAATATGGCATATATTAGGTTGGCAACTAAGTCATTGTCGATTTCAAA